TTAATTTTGTATTGTATGAATTTTTATTATTTTATTACAGTTCCAGTTGGAATGGGAGTAGTCTTGGTACATTCTTATTCAAATGATAGCATCTCTATCACATGGGGAGAGATCAGTGGTGAGAACAGCTACATCTTAGTGATAACCCCAGTCTCTAGTAATGATAGTAAAAGTATTGAACATACCGGAGACCGACAATTTGAATTTACTGGATTGACACCAGGTCAGTTGTTTAATATAACTGTACGAGGTAACAACAGCTTTGAAGAAGGAATTGTTTTGCAAAGAACAAGTAAGTGAATATCCGTAGTTTCACTTCTAAGTTGTTTTTTGGTTTTTGGCATTCAGTTGAGTTCTTATATATTTTCTTGTTTTTTCCAGTTTAGTTTTAACATTTTTTTTGTAGGCTTTTATAAATAATTGTAAATATTGCATTCCTCATGTCTTCTTTACTTACTTTGTAGATCCAAACCCAGTTGCATTTATTGAAATTACCAACACATCTCTTACTACACTGACACTCATTTGGAGTGAGCCTGAAGTGGAAGGAGGTCTTGAAGTTATATTTGGCGGCTATGTTTTAACTTACAAAGAGAATGGTGGCTCAGAAGTTAACCTTGGCTTCCTGGAAAGAGGAACCAACTTTTACACAATTACAAACTTGTATCCAACAACTACTTACACAGTTTTTATTAGGACAAGAATGGGAAGTGGAGACACACAAGAGCATAGCTCAGTTGTAACACATACAGAAATTACAGGTAGCATATAAAACACTAATTAAATACAGTGGAACATCTATTTTGTGGACACATTTGAGACCAAAAGAGTGTCCTCGTAGTAAGGGTGTCCACTATTTAGGGGAAACTAAAGTCTGTTTTCCATAAGATTTCTACACTTTTGCTACACTTTGTATCTGTTCCCAACGCAATCGGAAAAGATCTACGGTTTATTGGCAATGAATCAGCTGAGTTAAATACGGTTCAACTCACCTAATTTGTAGACAACAAATGCTCACCATTGACCAATCATCAATTGAATTCACTGAAACACCATCAGATTGCATCAAAATGATCATCACACTTAATTTTCTCAAGCGGTGATGCCAAATTTTGACATAAAATTACTGAATATAAATCAGACATCTATGTTTGTATGAAAAGAGCATACTAGGTATATAAGAGGTAATAGAAGAGTTCAAATATTAGGTGTTGGCCTTATTGGTAACAGCTATTTTTCTTTCATTTTAAGTGTAAAAGTGTCCCATTTATAGTTGGAATTAAGAGAGGAGTTGATGATTTAATTTGTAACCTGTGTTTTTGTAATTCTAGATGCTATTGCCAATGGTACAATCTTTGTAAGGAGCTTCACTGAAAGAAGCATTGAGATCCTTTGGCCTGACAATCCATTTGCATTGAAATACACTGTTTATGTTTGGCCAACAAGCGGAAGCAGAGGGGAAGGCATGTCTCAAGACACTGGCAATACAACATCAGCTTTGAGAAAATTGACAGATCTTGTTCCAGGAGAACTGTATACAATTCAGGTAGAGATTGATCTTGGAAATGGA